AAGCCAGGTGAGGTGGCCAGGATTGGCCAGGTACCCGGTGAAATCACACCAAAGAACTCGGAAAGCACCCGGACTTCACCCGTTGAACAAAGCAACCCAAAACAAACTTGAACTGATGTCCCCCGCAAAGCTGAGTCAGATCTTCTCTGGGAATGCAGATCCACCGCACTGAAGGTGTCTCTCTCATGTTGGATCCCCTCTTGGCATAGTAAAGGCGAACCCAAAGAACAGCAACCTGAGGAATCCGAGACACCCCTCTGCATACAGCGAAAACCTCCGAGCCGGCACTGAGGCACCAGCAAAGGTGCATCTCAGCGCAAAGGCGAAGAAGCAAACCGCAGCTTCGGGACCTTTGCGTCGCGACCCGACTGGGAGAATGGCGTCAGCTCGGGGTGGGGCGGGGGCTATCCACCCCCTAGTTCAAGCACGTGCTAAGAAACAACCGAAAATGAGGGGTCCCTGGAAAAACTTCATATTTGCTGTTTAGTGAACAATCTCACGGCTCAAGGGATTGCCGGGATGAAATGTTGCTGACTCTAAGAAAACCGCAAGCTGGGGGCACTGCCATTTGGTATAGCCGTGCAAAGTCTGTCCTTCGGCTCGGGGCGAACTTATGGCAATCTTAAAGCAAAAGTATGTATGGTGTCCAATTTCCTGACTAGGAACACAACGCGCAAATTTTACTGGGCCAAAACCTGATGTTTGAAGCATGTCACACAAGGACACCAAACTCCGCCTGAATGAGCTTGATCTCAAGTTGAAGAGGTGCTGAAGGTATTGATGATTGGGACGCTTAAGTACATATATATATATATATATATAAACACTATGACGGTCGCAGTTTAAAACCCATCAGCGATTGACAACCATCCTGTTGATACCAAGTTGCCAAGTGAGCACAGGTAGTGAGGGCACTGCAAAGGGTGCCCCTTAACCCGTGGACATTCCCAGGCTCGAAAGGCATGGGAACTCCTCGCGGCCCAGTCCCAGCACTTCAACCTGCGAAGCGAGTGTATGGGATGTTCGGGACAACTCAGTTCAACTCAGGTGCGCCAAGGCGTGTGCCTCAAGTATGCCTTCATTGAGGGATCGGCACTGCCAAAGCACAAAGGGATTATTGAACACATAAACAAGTACAGAGTACTGCATGTGGAAAATCAGGAAACCCACACAGTTGCCAAACAACATAACCGTAGTGGTTAGGGGATCTCCAAAAACAAGCACGTATCATCCTGGTGAAGTGGGCTTGCACAATAGTTAACGCGCAATAATATCTCTGCTGTTCATACCGGTTCCTCTGATTTAGCTTCCCTTGCAATGGTGTCATGCTCTGTCCCAAGGCAAGTCCCTATTGGGAGTCAAGACGTAGCCCTTTTGGCGTTTTGCGTTTGAAGACTCCACGGCTACAAGAGTCAAATATTGATGTCGACGCTGCACCTGTTCCACCAGAAAGGGATGATGGGACGTGAGACCAGCTACCAAAACATGTTTTGGGAAAGTACTTTAGGAATGTGCTTTGATTGGTGGGTTCTGGAATGGACCTGTAAAACAAGAATGAGCATCCTGAACACCACCCCTTAGAAGGGCGGACCTGAAAACGTAATAATATCACGTTTTGAGGTTTGCAGCCCCTGCTTTTTGGCAGGCTCGAGCAAAACCCTGGTCTTCCTCAACCATTAATAAAGCCAGGAACATCTCCTATTTTTCGTTCTGCTTAGAGGGGGGCCCTGGGGTGCCCTGGGCAAGTTGGCCGACTCAACTATGCAATTCTCGATGCGTGAACTTTCGCCACCGGGTCCGTGTGCCATGCGCGGGCCTTAGGGCCGCGGGCCCTAAGCGCGGCAGCCTACTCTCGCAGGCCCAGCCTGCCACGCTTAGGGCCAGCGGGCCTAAGGCCCGCAAGAACACCGCTTGGGCAAGAACGCGCGAACCTGCTCCGGCCGCTGCCCAGCCGAAGATGTCCAGTTTCTACATATAGGGAATCTGACAGACTGAAATGTTCAGCCTTTTTCGGGAAGAGCACGTTGAGGCAATGGCATCAAATGGAGCGTGAGCCACGCAAAGGATTTGCAATGGGAAAGGCTTGGCGCATGTTTGACCCCCTCCCCTCCCGTGCCCGAAAACTTGGGAAATTGAGCCCCCAAAATGTATAACTTACCCCAAAGCAAGGATTAAGGGGGGGGTCTTGCAAACCTGTGCCGAGGTCGAGTCCTGATCGCTGACGATGAATTCCTTCAGTTGCTTCAGACCTGAATCATCTGGCTGGGAAGTCTGGTGTGTGGCCATATTTCAAAGGACATTTGAGATATGCATCGCCTCTGTGCTAGAAGGGCCTAAATAATCAGATGGGGGTTGCGGGCAAGGGCCAGCGCCTTCGTCCCACCGCGACTCGGAATCGAGGCCCGCACTGAGAGGTTTTCTTCCGTCAGTGGAGTGCAAAAATGGAGAGTCGGAGTCGGGTAGCAAGTCATAGAAGCTGACCCAATCCTGGCTCACGAAAACATACCTGCAAACTCACTCACAACCTGCAGGAACATGGGGCCTGCACAAAAGAAGTGGACCCCAAACATTTCCAACTGAAGCCCTCAGTGCAACCCAATGACACTGTAAAAAATAGATGGCCAGTGACCTTCCGGGGCCCACACAATTTGCATCACAAGTATAGGCGGAGGATACACATCCCAACTTAGGGGTTCTGCCACTAGCATTTGCCCCGCTCTTGATATAGCTTTGTCACAGTTAGCGCTAGGGACCCCCTTTTGATATGTTGCTTCCGCCCCCGTGCCTGCCTTCTTCAAAACATCGTCCGCAAAGAGCTGCCTCTTTGGGTCGTAAGTGCTACTGGCAGGGCCTTAGTCTGAAGCGACCAGCTGACAAGACACACACACACACCCATCCGTCTTTTGGGCAGGCACAATTAACGCTTCAAAAAACAAGACTTCAAGCCTGTCTAAGGCATGACATATAGGTTATGTTTTATTTTATTGGAGGATGCATCCACTGCAGGTCATGTCAATGTGGGTTCGTTGCCAGCCAGTATGGGTGCGTGTGTCTTGTGACGGTACTTTGTGTAAGAGACACAAAAAGAACAACAACTTTTTGGTGTCCCCCTATTGTGACGCACACCGGTGTGGGTTGATCCTCGGAACCAAAAGCCTACGCAGAGAATCCGGTTCGCTTGCGGAGGCTTCCCCACTTTCCCGCGCGAGCCCGGGTTCTGAGCTACTGGCGCACAGGCCCTATTTCGTGGGTGCCAGTGTGTGTCTCCGCTGAAGACTCCATGACCTGATCGGAGTCTGTTTGAGCAATCCGGTGCATTACACTGAAAGAGTGCCAGACGAGCGCTCTATTCGAGACTGGTGGAATGCACTGCATCCAGAAGGTTAGAAACACTTGAACATTGTCTGCATTGTTGACCCCTGATTCATAAATCCCCCAGCTATTAATCAGTCCCCAAGAGTAAGGGTTGGGGTATTGAGGGGTATTAATCAGGGTACACTAGCTTTGGTTGAGAAGGTTCACTTTGTGCCTGGGATTCGCCCTGGGGTCCGAATGGCCTCTGAGGCGGGACAAGTACAGTTTGAGACATGCTGCCGAATGCAAGTGACAGTTCATTGATCGAGCTAGTTTTCCGCTAAGCCAACCATCAGCTGGTTGGACAGTCAGTGAGTTGGCAAGTTGACTAAACGCAAGTGGTTAGAAAGTTAGTTTTTCCCCAACGGCTGAAAAGAATGGGGGCTCTGCCCTAGATAAGCTCCAAAGTGGATCTGAAAAAGGTTCCAGAGGTGCCGGGTTGCATGGATACTTCCACTCACAGGGTTCCAGGGTTCCAAAGGATTCCGGATTGGGATCCTAGGATTCCGAGGAGTTCGGAGTGGTTCGGAGTAGGCTTCCCAAAGGCTCCAGTGGTTGCTGTTGGGGATAGCTGGTAAAGTGCTTAGCAAACTTGGTAAAAAAAGCTTGCCAGCGAAGTAGTTTGTCAGTCAGCAGGTTGGCCACTAGCTAGTTAGCCAGGTAGCTACTGTATTAGCAAGTCATTTGGTGTGTTTGCTATCTGGTCAGCTGGATATTGAATCAGCCAAGTCCTAGTTAGCTGGGCAGTTGGCTAGGCTCGCCAACTAGTCACCACCAACGGGATCCAAACGGCTCGTCGACAAGCGACAAGCGACATGTAGCTTTGTAGCTGGACTAGCTAGTACTAGTATAGATTCAGAAACTCCCTACAGTATCTATTGGAACAGCCAGGCAGCTCTTTGGCGCATATCCCTGTTGAATCAGGAAAGGTCGAATATGACTGGACATGATGTTCATTCCGTACAAGAACAAATCGATCCAGTGTTCGCGCAGCCTGACGAAACCTGGGAGCATGCCGAATCCCTTGAGCCCGTCAATCCGGACATGGATCAAGCCTTGGAATTCAATGCCATATAGAACAAACATATGCTGAATCATGGTATCGTATGTGATGACATGCAGCTGAGGCAGCAGGTTGCGAGGCCTCATGAGCAGGAACACCTCCGGTCCGACCCATAGTCTCCCCCCAGGAAACACACACAAAGTCCGTGAAAGAAAAGCGCGGCCGGGCACGCCTGTTGAGTCTGGGGCCGAGCAAGGAAGGCATCGAACAAAACACTTCGGGCGGCAGCGACTCAAACTCGTCAGTGTACTCCTCACCTTTCACCTTCAAAAAATGGGACCCCCCATCAGACACCCAGCAAACAAGTCACATCTCAAGCACTCCAGCACGGTAGCTGCTGAAGTGCAACAGAACAACTAGAACAACTCCACGCAGCAGCGAATGAATGTGTGCCATAGTCAAACCACATGTACTTCGATTTCCCGCTCGCTGGATGAAGTTCCACGCTTGCATGCATGCCATCTTACGGGCCAAACAACAGCGTGCGTGGATATGTTTGTTCGACCATATGTCCGAAGCAGTCTTTGACTCGCCTCGCACTAGGCCCGCAACATGGTGACACCCGTCACCATGTACATGTTATTCAGTCTTCAGTCTGGTAAGACAACAGATCCGGATTCATCAGGGTCTCCAGCAAGTCGTGCTTCAAAATCAGCTGCCAGGCCGCTGGCTCCTCATCAGGCAACACGTGCATGGGGCAGTAGTCATAGGCGAAGCAGAAGTAGTCCCGCTCAGTATTGCGAGAGGTCGCACAGCCGCAAGTCTGCGGACAGAACCATGCCAGAGGCAAATACTTGGAGCTGCCTCTGCATGCCAGGTTACCCATGAGGTCTACAGGCTGATAAGCTATAGCCGGGCAGCCTACTTCTCTGGCCCAAGCAGCAAACTCAACAACGCTCTGCTGCTGGGAGTAGTCGTAGGCGTTGTGAATAGAGGAAAGCGTCACGAAGTGGTCCCAAAAATGCTGAAGGCCCTCAAAGCCGGGTGTACCAGGAGATACGTCTTTGCATCCAAGAGTGAAGTTGGGGACTTGCCCGACAAAGGGACTGTCGCGGGATAGGCCAAAGCCAAAGGATTCTTGAATGCAAGCCGACTGGCACCCCCATCGCGGGGTCCTCACAACCGGTGACGCCAAGGGCGTGGTGCAGCCGCAGGTCCTGGGACAAGCCAGGCGTAGCCATAGCGCGGCGTTGGAAAAGATCCATTTGGCAGGGGCTGAGTCACTGCAGTAAAACTTCAGCTCTTCACAGCTGGTGGCTCCTGGCATGCCAACGGCAAATGCAGCGCTCGCCAAATACGCGCTGAAGTTCGTCCCATTCTCATTGTGCTGACGGCAAATGTCCCTCTCGCGCTTCCAGACACCGTAACCTTGGCTAAGCAGCTCATACGTGCGAGTAACGTCCAGCTCCTCTATGGGCACAGCCACGGGCTTTTTGACTTTCGAAGGGAAGGCATATTCGAGCACGGCTGTCTCGATGTAGGTCATTTCTGGCAAGTCACTCACGCTTGTTCTGGTGGGAACCACCCGAACGAGGTCATCTTTCACGCCCATGACAAACTCTAGGTTTCCTGCGCAAAGCTCCATTTTTACCGCAACCATCGTCTTTGAGAGAGGTGCGTGGAGCAGACTGTAAGGCAGCACAAGTGCTGCTGTAAGTCCCAAAAACAGAATGCAGTTCTCCACCAGGGGCCATCTACGGCCCTTGGGGATCTTCACAGGAGGCAGAGTCCGAATCAGCTGCTGCCTGGACCCGAAGAATGGCAAAGTCAATACCAATAGTTTGCTCCAATCAAATGAGTTTGAAGAACCCCACAAACCCATTAAAATAGTCTCTTTTGAAAAAAATCCCTGCTCAACCAAAACAAAAAAGGTCAGGTGGATTTGTCTCCAAATGAGGGACCCAAAAATGTGTCGTTTTCTTTTGGTTTACCTTTCAGCCCAACCAACAACAAGTCCACCATTTCGAGAACCCGATTTCCGAGCTGCAGATTCGTGGGCACCAGGGCAGTAAAGATAAACTCGTCCACGTGCAAAACCGCCTCCAAGGCGACGCAGTTCAGCATCAGCTCTGTGATGGAGGTGGTGCGCGCCAGCCACCTCGACCCCGGTGAGTGCAAAGGGGCATATACCCTACACCCTGACCCAGAAAGGAAAACCCCAAAGTCAGTGGACAACGTGGAATTCACAATACAATTGTGTCCAAATCATGAAACAACAAGTTAAGCTGGTTAAGCTCACGCTTACCAGTATTAGAAAGAGGCTGCTCTCTTCTCTCGCTTGACCCACGGTTTGCCGCTTACGCGCCGGCCTAAGCCCATCAAGTTTCGCAGAGCTCGGCATGTAACAAGCGAAAGCAAGCTTTGGCATGTCATGGCATGTCAGTTATTGCGCCGAAAATGCGTAAGTTGGAAGTTCGCGCCAGCTGAGAAAGCCTACAACGCCATCAGGCCTCCAAAGCGGGTTCCGTGTTCATGAAAAGAGGGCCCAGGAATCTCGTCAATGCAAACCACCGTTTCTGTGCACGTCTGTAAGCTACCGAAACCCATAGCGGCGCTTGATGCAACTGTCAGTGGGTATGACTACAAATGACTCCGCGCCTCTGCCTCTGCCTGCTGCCTTGCTGCCTCTGCCTTCCTGCATGTCAGAATGCTTTCCAGACAATGACAAAGACATTGTAGGCCATGCTGGACCGCATCAGCGGAAGGCTATGCTGTGGCCAGCTTTTGCCTGCTCCGCGACTGCAGAACCCCATAAAGCGTTGGCTGCTCATGCCGATGCATTGGCAATGACTCCGGACACAAACATGCGATCAGTATAGGTATCATCGCTCACACGGCGGCAATGCAAGGCTGGACATGATGACATTGGCATTCTGGCACCACGCTAGCTTGACTCCACATGCCGCTTGTCAGAAAGTTGTGCTTCTAATCTACTGTCAGAAAGTTGTGCTTCTAATCTACGGTCATTGTTTGGAGCTTGGCGCCAATCAATGGTTAGTACTCCGTGTGTAAGTACGCCTGCTTTTGCTCACGTCGCATGAATTAAGCAACTCTGCGGGAATTCCAGGAAGTATCGAGTTCACAGACTAGAACATAAAGTGCTAAGACCTGATAGGTGTTCACGGATTTCTGTTGCGTGCAGGGCGTAGTCAGTTTGGTGGTGGGTTGCAGTGGCTTCACTCAGTTTGTTGCACGTGAAAAAGCACCCTGTGCTAGAAAAGAACATACCTCTCAAATTCACAAAGTCATGTCCAAACCAAAGAGAAAGAACAAAAATAAGCGTATGTCAAAATACAAGCGAGTCCAAAAAGTTGCAGTAGCTTCGGGAAAAACCTTTGCCGAGCCGCATACTGCCAGAGATGAGTAGGGCCACAGCCACCGCCGTTCGGCTGAGGCAAACCACCGCCATGGACAGAGCCCGCTGCCAAGGCAGGTCCTACCGAGGAGTTCGTTGAAGGGCGTGTCTTCGGATTTGGAGCCCCCAACATGTTGTTGTTCCTGTTGGCTTCCCGATAAAACCCACCAAACACGGGTACCGAGCCTCAAGAAAAGGACATACCCAGCAGTTTTAAAGCCGGATGGCCGTGCCTGCCAAGTGCCACCCAAGTGACCGGTGTAGCGTAGGGCACGGGCAACGGACCACACGTTCCCTGGGCCAAACAAATGCATAAGCAAACAAGGTGCTTGCTGACCATTTTGGACGAGAGAAAAGGAAATCAACCGCCTGGAGCCTGCAAGGCTCATTTTTTGAGACGCACCCAATCCGGGCTTGTCTCGGGCATGCACCTGCCGAAATGGGCTTTGCTTTCATTTTAGTTTATCTTTGAAGCAAACAACAACAAAAAACGCACCCATAATTCACAAACATGACAAAGAAGCCCCCAAAAGAGCGATGCTGTCAAAGATTTGGGGCTTGTACACTGCTGAGATGCCTACGCTGCGGGTTTCATGGGCCAGAATTTTCGCGGAAGCGGCTTCGCGCGGCTTGCGAGGAACCAGCGGCTTCGCAAAGTGGCTTCACGGACCTTGTTTGCTTTTCAATGTCGAAGCTGGACTTCAATCATAGTTGGTGAGTGCGAAGATGAAGACACCAGAGTCCTTGCCTGATGGTGTCTGGCCAGCTTTGCGCAGCCGAATGGCTCCAAACGAGCGTGGAAGATGCAAATATTCAGTGATCCCAAGAACGTTTGAGCTTGGAGATTGAAGGTGTTGCACCTCGAATGTGTTAGCGAGAGGCTTCGCGCACCTTCACACAAAACTGACATTGCAAACTGTTGGGGTTCAGCCCGGATATAAATCCCATTACTCAAAGCCAAAAACGAAGCTTAAGTCATAGTGCTTTTGGGGAAGGTATGCTTGTAATATTCAAAGTGTCTCTGCGTCGCGTGTTTTGTGCTAAGTTCTGGTGCGTGAATGTACAAACAACAAGCTTGCCAAACATGAAGCCCCGGCAGCTGTCAGCAGCATGCTCCTTTCCAACTAGACCTGAATGAGATGTCTAGGGAAGAGCTGCTGTTACACAAAAAAACAATAAAATGCCTGCTGCTTGCAAACGTGTATTCTGGCGGCGCTTTTTGAGTCCACCAGTTCACAAGTCATTTATGCGACTGAGCCAGAAAAGGGAACATATCAGCATGCTGCCAAATCATCCGTAGTGGACTGCAGCCTTCAACAGGTGAAAGAACAAACAATCAGGCGCTACAAAAATCAGAAATCAATAATGAACCATACCTTTGTTAGTTGGCTACTCTTGTCGCATCTTCCCCATGGCCCGAAACCTTTGCCCAATCCCTCCCTGCTCTTCTCTGTTTTGTCTCTCGCTCTCTCTCTCTCTCTCTCTCTCTCTCTCTCTCTCTCTCTCTCTCTCTCTGAACGGGCAAGCTGTCAATTGGAGCCGGAGCCGACGCCATGCCTACGCAAGCCCTCGCTTTTTGCCCCTTTACTACCATTAAACAAACGCAGCTCAAGTCAGGAACGTTCATCTTGGGTAAGCGCCTTTTATTACCAAGTGAGCATGGTATAAGTTATTACCTGAGCATTTTCTGAAGAATCGCCAAACCAACCAATTTGCAGAAAGTGATTGGAAGTTGAGGGAAACTGCTATGTTGCAAAAGGATAGAACCTTCAAGATCAAACAACGGCCGAGTTACGTAGCTCCCGGCCAATGCAGATTGCCCAGAGCAGAATGCAGAGCACTGATAGCATGACTCCTGGCTGAAAGTAGGGCAGCTGAAATGCACCATCCCCAGACTTGGAAAGACCAAGGTAGCTGTTGATCTCAGCAACCAGACCAGCCTGGGCCGTTGAGAATATGAGGGACCCGTCCTCATCACACACCATTGTTGCTAAGCTCCTGTCTGACATGCTGGCATACTTGATGTCGTGAGCAAAACTCCTGCGCCAATTGCGCGCGCTCTCCAGTTTCTTGAAAAAGTCTTCACCGATAAACCCTGGCGAAACGAGGACAATGGTCAGGAGGAGCTGAGTGGTAACATTCAGTATAAGAAGTAGGCTGGCAAATATGCTTTCAGACAAATTGCTCCAGTTGAGAACAAGCGGAATGCTCCAAGCACTCCGCTTCTGAAAAGTGATGTCCTCATCCGCTAGGCTGGCATTCGACGTCCATGTCGTGCGAGTTTTCTCATCGGCGTCCACTGCCAGGGAGAACCCAGTCTTGACGCTCGTCTCGGATTCTGTCCCAGTCTGAGTCTTATCAGTGTTTTGCTCCTCGCCAATGTCAACGGTTGTGGCACAGTGCCACTGCAGTGTTTTGTGCACATGAGACTTGAGTTCGTTCAGCTCATGCCTCAACTTGGCCACTTCATCATCGACATAGTCTTTGTGAACAAAGAGCTTTGGCATGGAGAGACCTTAAGGAGCCTGTTGCCAGCCTTGAGCCATTCTGCCAAGGTAATTAAGATCAGTGCACGACTCCAACAAAACAACATACTGCAACTCTAATCCAGCTAATTTGATAGCAGTAGCCACTACTGTTCTGTAAACATGGACCGTGTGGATGTTTGGGTGGAACAAGTCGGCATAAAGGCTCTCGGCGGTGCCCAAACCGCCGTCTCTTTGTGGCAGCCTTCATTTCTCGTCTCGCGCTTCCGCGGGCTCGAGGATCGCTGAGTCTCAGTCTCAGGTCCGGCACCGCCTGTCACTTGCCCGCGACTCCAGAGAACTGTCAGTGAACTGGTCCAGTCAAGGCTCAATGTTCCAAACAACAAATACACGACTTCTAAGTTCGAACGTTGCAGGGCAGCCAAACTTGATGTTAGTGAGACCCAACTATGCCATACTAAAGATCGCAACATGGTAGGGCGCTTGCCATGCTCAAGCATTCCAAAAGAAAACCAATGCATTGCACTGCGCCAGTCTGGGGAAAAAATGAAACCCGCAAAAAACACACACCCACTCCCAGTGCTGTCTTCTTCCTATGTATAAACAGGCTTCATGCAATAGTGAAATCACCTCCAGTCGATCCCAACAATTGCCAATACTGATTTCAAACTACCCAACACTTCTCTGGAAACCAAATGAACTCAGCCAAACTCCCCAGATGTGCTCATTAGGGGCCACCAAAGGGCTGCCTTGCAGGAGAGGTTCTTATTATTGGGGTCTCCAATAGGTTCCCTTCACAAAGTTCGGTCCCCCCCGGAAAACAAACGAGGGTTGTATTACTAAGTGTCTGTTTGACCAAATAGCAGAGCGCTTTCGTAGTAAAAAACTATACTCAACAAAAATGCATTTGCAAATCAAAGGGGTCCCCCTTGCCCAATACTAAGCTGCGCAATCTGAAACAGTTCTGGCCAAAAAGCGGGGGGGGGGGGGCTCTAAAAATAAACACCCTCCGAGGTGCTTTTTTAAATAGGACCGGTTTATTTGGGGGATGGGATTACAAGCTTGGGATGAGGCATCGGACCATCCCCGTCCGAAGCCACAAAGCCCAAGGCGGCTTTGTCTCTCCACCCTTTGGACTTTAAAATATGGGAACGCTGCAAGTAGATCGCCAGTTGCAAACATGGCAGATATATACGCATTACTATGACTGACACACACACAAAATAAAACCGACTCGACCTGCAACGAGCCCAGTTTCCGCTTGCTTTGCTGACTGAAACCCAACATGTTCTTTTCCAGATACAAACGGATTCCCGGTGCGTTCGAGAGAAGCCCTTCCTCGGCTACCACGTCCTCGGATTCAAGCACTCTTAAAAGTCACAAGCACTCTTAAGGGTCACTAAACAGCTGACTCACTGAATCTGAATTGTGGAGATGAAGCCATTCGTCAGAATGCGAGCAGGTTGGCAAACAACTCCAGCCTTGTGAGCTGATGGCACTTGCGTATCATCGCTTGACCTGAGGCGGTTCGCTCAAACTCCGAAACACGCCAAGACCTCCAGCCTGCCCACCTGCAGCTTTTTGGATGGCACTTGGCGGTTTCGACATGGGACAAAGCAGTCGGATGGCTGTTGCGTGGAAGGTAAGGCCAGAGCACGTCGGAGGCAAGCCAAGAGCCTGAGGTTTCAAAGTCAGTCACGTGCTCGCGTCCCCCTGTGCTTACTATCGAGAACATTTCGTGAGGCCAAAAACAGGGACTGTGACATCCGCATTCTGGCCCCTGTACATCTCTCAAAATTGGAGAGACCCCCACCCCTTCCAGGGTTTGGTTGTGGCTCTTTGGGCACTTTTCGGGCCGATCCTCCAAATCCTTGGGTCTGCCGCTTCGAGGGTAAAACGCTGAGTGCCTGGCATGGACCGCAAATGGCGCCCAACTGAGGCCGAAAGCGGCACCAGGATGGGCATGGAGATCGGCAAATACCTAACGGCAAGGAGCCGACAGAAAAATGCAGCCAGAACCCAACGGCTGCCAAATGCTTTGTTCCTGGCGTGGGGCTGAAAGCCTTGCTCAAACAATGCGAAGCTTCCCACACTATCCACAGGTTTGCTCTTGAGCAAATTTCAACTGGCCTTGCGCCCATTGGCGGAGTCGCCCTTCAGACACTCCGGGAGATTCGCTGGTTTAACATTGGTCTAGTATTCCAATTTGGGAGACAGGGGTCTCATTTGGCTGCATTTTGAATAGGGAATGGGATTAAGTGGGATAACCTTTAACCTGTACATGGGGGTCACTTAGAACCAGTACTAAATCAATTCTGCACCGATACTTGACTTCATATGAGGCCAATTGGAACAATTCCCCCGAGTTCTAAAGGCTGTTCCACGGGTGTCCAAGCCAGGGTTGAGCTGAGGTCCGGGCACAGCATACTTGAACTCCCAAGAGAAGTACCTGGCCACGAATGTGAGCTTCGGAATACGGTGGACTATGCTAAATACCGTGGATGGTTTCCACCACGACATGAACAACCATGGTTGAAACCATTGTTTGCTTGCATTTGCAGGGGGAATCATTAGTCCAGGGTGTCTTAGGTGGTGCAGGATTTTGTCCATCCACAGTGCTAAAATCAAATTCCCGCTAGGCCATCCACTCCTACTTTCCGAAGTTGATATTGCAGAACGGCACGGGGTTGCGAAACCCCTGGAACTTCAGAAGTCAATGCGTGACTCAACCAGAGTTTAAAGGCAGGTAGGTATCATACAACAACCAGGTCGAGGGCAATCAATTGTCCACCAAACCAACCAAAAAGGATCAACCGTCTGGGTCCATGACATACGAAGGCGAGGCGGTGCGAAGTTTGGATTGGGACAATGACTTCCTGCCGGTCAGAAAGACAAACATAGGAAGCCTGGGCTTGTCAGCCCATAGAAGCACCCTTTGCAGGGCTACAACCATGGAACCAAAACAAGCTGTAGAGCTCTTTCAGAGTTTCAAAACCAACCAACGGCTGGCATCCAGTTCCACCCAAAGATCCCTGGCCATCGGCCATCTGAATTTGTGAACTGCCAAGATCCTCTGGAATGTTGGTTGCGTCTTAGTCCCTTTAGCATGAAACCGGGGGCCCAATCTGGAGGCAAACCCGCATGTCACGCCCTTTACACGCTTTGATACACATAATACGTCGTTTCGTGCCGTTGAGCCACCAATCAAAGCGTTGGCCAGAATGAGACTCATTTGGGGGTACCCCTTCTGGGGTTGTGTCAAACTGAAGGCTTCGATTGTGGGTTCCCTAATTTGAAGACTAACCCCGCCTACCAACTGGGCTTTAATTTCAATGGGAAACACCTGGTGGAAATCACTATGGGATTCATGCAGCCACCAACCACTTGTAAAATGCATTCCCAAGAAAAAGAAGAAGAAAAAACACATAGCTAGTATGAACCACAGCTTCTGAGTTTGGCACGAACTCTCGACTCGGGGAAACAAGGGGAAGCGCGAAGCAATCCCAAGCCAGGGTTCTCGGCTCGAACGGGGCACAGCTGCGAGACCACGGAGTCGTCGTGGATGGCGGTGAGTGCCAGGATCAAAGCCTCCCGTGCCTCAGCCTCAGCGATTGGGCTGGTCTCAGATCCGAATATACGGTTCTATTCTGAAAAAAGTAGGATCACTTATCTCTTCTCATTACTGTATGAGTCGAGAATCTGACTTCTTGGTCTTGCATGACGCCAAAGTCGGTTTGATCTTTGGACTCGTTTAGAGTCGTTTTACAACAGCTCGCTTTCCATTGCTTTGTGTGTGTGTGCGTGCGTTCTACGCGTTCAACCTTGAAAATCGCACCTTTCCAGTTGAAGTAGTACACCAATCACACTTCAAGAATCACAACTGTTGAGTATTAGTGTAGCGCGGGAAATGCGTTTTGGCAGCTCCAGCTCAGAAAGCACAACTGTTCTGTTTAAATGTATTACGCAAAGTGCGCTGTAGCAGCTCCAGCTCGAAAATCGCAAGTTCTCGGTCATGTCAATTTGCGAAGCGTGCGCAGCAGTGACTAAGACTTCGTTTGACTTATCTCGTTTCGATACTAAGCCGGTTGAATATGAAACCAACCAGGGGGGGGGGCTCCCCCCGACGTGAGGCCGGCACAAGGGCAAGCTGTACGTCGCCAGCTGCGGCCGCATCAGTGGATGCCTGGGCTTTCGCTGCCGCCTGCGAGAAACGACGGGCAACAAATGGGCGGGCCGTTTTCGAGGTACTCATTTGGGTGTCTTTTTTTAGGGACTCCCCCAAAAAATATATGATTATGTGGCTTTTCTTCTTGGTTTTCCTTCAAACACCAACCAAAGGGGGTTCCGTAAAAAGGCAAACCCATTTTGTGGCTGTGAAGGGATAAACATCAAAGGACACATTGTTGTGGGTTCTCCACTGTCGGGCGTGTGCATGTGTGTGTGTGTGTGCGTTGGAGGGGTCATGACTCTGGGTTTGGAGGAGTGCCATCCCCGGAAAAGTCTGGCACCCTTAAAGGGTCAAAACAATTGACTTTTGTATAAAGCCTGACTTCTCGCTGGGCCTAAAGTATTCGACGCCATACCGGTTCAACACACCAAACTGCTGGACCTCCTGCCTTGAACGCCATTGCGCCGATCTCCTCACCTCGCCAAGTTTGAGGCGTCTCTGTGCGCATATGAAGCGTTTTGAAATGAGATACGCCAAGGGTTTTTCTCCCGTACATCGAATCTCACCCAAGGGTGCAAGCATATTATGAATCTCCGGAGAACGATATGCTTGTTTTTGGCAGGGCACGTGAAATACAGTAAAATGTCCACGTTTTTTGGTACTTGTCCAAATTGAACAGATATAATATATATATACACATGTATATATAATAATCTTGTGGCCACAGGTATTGTTTGGGAGATCAAAAGGTCGGTTCGCTTAGTAGGCGACTGAGCCCTGATTGCTCAACTGCTGTTGCAATTCAGGCAACTTCTGAGCCATTCAGCCACACCCCCAGGATCGAAAGGGAGCCTCGAAAAACAACCCAGCCTTGGGACCACCAATGACAATTGTGCGCTTTCTCGAGGCAGTGGCCCCTGGCCACTGCTCTGAGCTTGAGAGCCGCCTTTGTCCTCCTGAGCTGGCTCAGTCTCCGCTGCTTCCTTTGCTGCCTTCAAGGCAGCTGCTGCAGCCAGCTCGGCTTCTTCGTCTTTTGCCTCCTTGGCCTCCTGCTCGGCAAGCGCCTGAGCTGCAGCTTCTTGCTCAGCAGTTAGGGGCTCTCCATCCTGTTCCCCTCCTCCTTGCGCTGAAGCTGCCCCATCTGGAGCTGCCATTATGGCACCAGCTCAAAGTCCTCCAGCTGAGGCAACCAAATAACCTCCGGATTTCGTTGGGAAAAAGGGCTCCCAACCAGCTGGAACCAGCAACATCACCAGCATTGCAGTTGGTTTCCAGCATCGCCAGCATCACTTGGGTTTATATAGGTGCTTGTTTTATAAAAATGCTTTACATCATTTCTAGTAAAGCGTAGGGGCGCTATCAACACCACCACAGGTGGGTTTACAATCGGTTCGTGTGGGAAGACGCACTGTTTTCAGCACGATCATCTTCTGCATCGCCAGCATCACGGGGCGTTGCACGGGCTTCGGGGGGGCTTAGGGTGGATGTCCGGTTGGTTTATGGTCAAGCAAGTTACCGAACAAAGAAGATTGTCAAGAAGTCGCAAACACAATAATCTAAAAAGGAGGCTAAGAAGCCGCAACCGATAAGCAAAAAGCCAAGTAGCCGACCTACCTAGAGGCTAAGAAGCTGAGAAGCCAACAAGCAAAGAAGCCAAAAAGCCAAGGAGCCAAAAAGCCAAGGGGCCAAAATGACATGAACCTGGGAGCCAAGAAGCCACAACACCAATGCACAAAACAGCCAACAACAGGGAAAAAACAAAACAAGACGGACGCTAAGTTCACCCTCTTTTTTCAGGGACAACTGGTTTGTTTAAGAACAAGGGGCTCCAAATCTCGCTGTGCTCTCGCCTAGCTGAGCCGCAAACGGACCACCACATCTGGTAGGGAGTCGACCAGCTCCACCAAGCTGCGCAAGGTCTCGGCCTCTGCTAGCGCCATGTGGCAACTCTTAGTCTGCTCAAATGTCCGACGCATATCAGCTTCCCTCTAATTGGTTTAGATTGGATTGGTTTGGTGTGCCACTGAACATGACAGTTCTACGAGTGCCAGTCACAACCATATCACTTCAAAACCAACTGTCAGTGGACATTGGCATTTCGAAACAGCGGGGCTCAAGAATGTCTTGTGGCATTCCTGGTGGCTTCCCTTGAACACAACAACCACAAGAGGGTCCCGAATTGGGCCAGACAGCACCTAAGGCATACGTGGGGAAACCCTGTAAGCCCTTCGTTGAACTTCGCGGGTCCGTCATTCTCATCAAGGAATCCACGAGCGAGAAAAGGTGGCAGTGCGTTGGACATTGCGTTGGTGCGTGCGTGCGCTTGCTTGGGGCAGGGGTGAAGTTTGCCTCGATCTGCACGGGCACAAGCCAATTTGCCGAGTGAGTAGGCGGATAAAGGTTGAACAAGTTGCACTGCGCTGTGGCATGCGATGAGTTCGGATTGCTTCCGCCTCAGCGGTTCCTAGTTGGCCAATCTGACGTTTGGTCAAAAGCAAATAAAGGCTGAATGTAGACCATTACCAATTTGGATGCTACACTGACCAAGAATGGTCACCTTCACCTTGCTTGCACTGTCATGGGCTTGTGAACCAATGTGGCCTAGCGTTGAACCTAAAGGGTGTCTTCTTTTTGGAGGGCAGGTTTCTTTTTGCGTAGTTTGAAAGGTAAAGCCAAACGGACAACCACCATTTTGGGGGGGCCTAAAACAAGACGCACCCAAACTGATGTGTTGATTGGCTTTGGGATTCTGGCTGTCACTAGTTGGTCTGATTGCGGTTCACTCGAATGCTTTTCTGCATCAACGTACTGCCTCCCAGGAGCTCAAGCCAGAATCCGAAAAGGGCAGTGCGGGAGTCAAGTCTGAGCGAAGCGCAGTCCTCTGGACAAAATGGCCGTGAACAGCTCCTTGGCTTCGGGCAACCTAGGCTATAGCCTGAAGCATAAAATGAACTTTCGTGGGACTTGGTTGTTTCACGCTCCGGGTTGTTTGGCTTGCAGTGCTGCCAACTTGAAGGCCAACGCCAGTCAGGGACCCAAACTACTTTGCCCGAGATGGTAGCAGGAATAGCGGAACAGCAGAGCAGCAGTCAGTCAAGAGCAGAAGAGCAGCAGTGGCAGTATGAAGCGGACAGCGTCGGCGATGAGGGCGAAAGCGGCCGGCCGCGAAGCCCAAGAAGAAACTCGCTTCGAGGACTGCTGGGCTCAAACTGCAAAAGCCGAATCCTTCTCGGGAATGTCCTTGTCTCCTTCTCTGCCTTTTGTTGATCAAGCAAAAGTTCTACGCTTCGGATGGGGAGCCAGAAGCAAGATCTGTTTCAAATCTTGCAAAAAGCCAGAGCCATACCTCGCCTCATGTGAGCATTGGTGAGCTGCCGCTGTAACCGGAAAGATTACTTCCAGCAAATGGCAGGGCAGAAGGCCCAAGTAACCGAAAAACGTGAAGAATGGGGCAAGATCAACTCAGCGGACACAGTCTGACTGTCAGTTGTCGGCGGTGTTTGTTTGCTGGATGGCAGCAAGTACGGGTTCTTGCGGTTTCCCTTGCTTCGGGTGTAGGTATAGCCCTGTTGGTGAAAGCAGGTGCCCCAAACCTTACTTTTTGTGGAAAACGATGCCCTAAAACTAAGGCGCCCGTGGTGCGGGCAATGTTCAACTGCGACCAGCAGTATGACCCTGCAAGCCAACCTCAGCACATGATGGCGCCTGAAGATGGCGCCGATTCAGACTTATTTCTTGCCTCTGATATTTAACCTGAACGTTCCAGCCCAGCCTATCAGAATCTGAGGCACCCGCGTCAAACCCCACCTCTCGACAATCCTGTTTGCGTATCGGCGCTACAGGCCCTGCTTCGGGTGGGGAGCAGTACTCTCCAAAGAACTCGCTCTGGGGAGCGTGATGCACGAACCACAGGCGGGAGAAGGCGCCGAAGCACCCAACCTTTGGTTGCAGACTGGAAAACAATGTGTTTGCCAAATGAGTTTGAGTTGTCGTGTTTCTCTGGGAGACCTTCCTGTCCTGCTCTGAATTGATGCCTACAGAATTCAAGCTGCCCAATGGGCGATACGTGGTGTCCCAGCGCTGGACCCCTTCTTGGTGGGAAGGACTGGCTACTTTTGTGTTGCAAACCCTGCACTTTCTCGGCACCAGGAGAAATTGCGCTTGTAGGCGGAGGATTTCCTCCGGTATTCTCTCGAAGCATTGAAAAACAGCCAGCAGAGCAAGTTGGCAGGAAACACGCGGCGCCCCTCAGTTGTGCAACATGGAACTTTCCTTTCTTTGATTGATTCGTTGTTCAGTTCTTGTATTTGTGCGGCAGCAGCTTTGACTGTTGTGGCATGCCGAAAGCCTACTGTCTAGTCATCCCGCGATGCGCACAGAAAGCAACCATTTATTCAGAGCCCGTAGAAGGCTCACCTGAAATGCGGGCGGACTAGGACCATAGGCTGTTTAGCAAAAATAATCTGTCCAATTTGGCAAGTTGCGGTGAAGGAAAAAGCCTGCGACCCTTCCATGTTCTGTCCGCTTGTTGCAACGCCTACTTACTTTCCCACGTTCTGACATTGAATCTTGAGATTTGGTTCAAGGGCCCAGGAGAAACACCATGACCCCCAAGAAGATTGCGAGAAGCGGAGGAATTGCCTCCCAAGCGAAAGCTATCACATCGGGGGAATGCCAGCAGGGCCGTTTGCAACAACCTGGATGATGCTTGCCCTTTGACCAGGGCCATGGAATCTTGCGTGGAAAGCGCGCATTCATTGAGGCATGCTTCTGGAACGTCTCTCACGCCTAATGCTCAGCCTTTGCCGGAATTGCCTTTGAACGCTGAGGGAACTCTGTACCTTTAGGGCCATGCCTTACGGGGGGACATTGAAAGACATAGCTCACCATGCTTGGCTTGCTGATTCCACAGATCGACTTTTGGAAGGGCGCTGGGACATGGTAGCACCAGGTCTCTTAGATGACGGTTCCTCAGCAGCTACGCTAAATGGTTCTGCGCTGCCTGGTTTCAAGAAGGGTCTGGAAATATTTCAAAAATAGAAAATTACCAGGTTGCTAAAGATGAACAATCGTTCAAGTTGAGCAAGATCGAAACCATAAGAAATTTGCCGGGAGCCCAAAAACTCAGCGAAACTCAACTCCCTTGGCTTCAGAGTTTCGCCGAGGACCTCTGCGAGGTCCTCAGCCAAACCCCCCCCCACCACCCCCCCCAAGAAGCCGCGTGTTGTTATCCAATTTTTGTTTTTTTTAAGGAAAGTGCTTTCTGGCACCCCGTGGGGTGGGGTTTCGCCGAGGACCTCTGCGAGGTCCTCAGCCAAACTTCGGTTTTACTCTCCCCACAAGTTTCGCCGAGGAATTGGGTGTTCGGTGCCACCCAAGCGTGTTTTTTGTGTTCCCGGAGGCGGGTGACCGAGATATAGCTTTTCAAAGGTTGAGCCTGGCTCCGAGGGGTCCAAGCCTGGCAGGCGAAGAGTGCAAAACCAATCGAAACACTGAGGGGTTTGTGGAAGGGCCACCTCTAGACTGCAGAACTTCTCTTTTAGTGTAGCTGCTGAAGAACCGTCATTTAAGAGACCTGGTGCTACCATGTCCCAGCACCCTGTGGAATCAGCAAGCCAAGCACGGTGAGCTATGTCTTTCAATGTCCCCGCGTAAGGCATGGCCATAAAGGTACAGAGTTCCCTCAGCGTTCAAAGGCAATTCCGGCAAAGGCTCAGCATCAGGTGGGAGAGACGTTCCAGCAGCATGCCTCAATGAATGCGCGCTTTCCACGCAAGATTCCATGGCCCTCGTCCAAGGGCAAGCATCATCCAGGTTGTTGCAAAAGGTCTGCTGGCACCCGCATGTACCCCCGCTTCTGGCAATCTTCTTGGGGGTCATGGTGTTTCTCCTGGGCCCTTGAACCAATTCTCAAGATTCAATGTCAGAACGTGGGAAAGTAAGTAGGCGTTGCAACAAGCGGACAGAACATGGAAGGGTCGCAGGCTTTTTCCTTCACCGCAACTTGCCAAATTGGACAGATTCCTTTTGCTAAACAGCCTATGGTCCTAGTCCGCCCGCATTTCAGGTGAGCCTTCTACGCGCTCTGAATAAATGGTTGTTTTCTGTGCGCATCGCGGGATGACCAGACAGTAGGCTTTCGGCATGCCACAACAGTCAAAGCTGCTGCCGCACAAATACAAGAACTGAACAATGAATCAATCAAAGAAAGGAAAGTTCCATGTTGCACAACTGAGGGGCGCCGCGTGTTTCCTGCCAACTTGCTCTGCTGGCTGTTTTTCAAGGCTTCGGAGAATACCGGAGGAAAGCCTCCGCCTGCGGGCGCAATTTCTCCTGGCGCCGAGAAAGCGCAGGGTTTGCAAAACAAAAAGTAGCCAGTCCTTCCCACCAAGAAGGGTCCAGCGCTGGGACACCACGTATCGCCCATTGGGTAGCTTGAAGTCTGTAGGCATCAATTCAGGGCAGGACTGGTAAGTCTCCCAGAGAAACACGACAACTCAAACCCATTTGGCAAACATATTGTTTTCCAGTCTGAAACCACAGGTTGGGTGCTTCGGCGCCTTCTCCCGCCTGTGGTTCGTGCATCACGCTCCCCAGAGCGAGTTCTTTGGAGAGTACCGAAGCAGGGCCTGTAGCGCCGATACGCAAACAGGATTGTCGAGAGGTGGGGTTTGACGGCCGCCGTGTCTGGCACACGCGGGTGCCTCAGATTCTGATAGGCTGGAACGTTCAGGTTAAATATCAGAGGCGAGAAATAAGTCTGAATCGGCGGGGGTTGGCTTGCAGGGTCATACTGCTGGTCGAGTTGAACATTGCCCGCACCACGGGCTCCTTAGTTTTAGGGCATCGTTTTCCGCAAAAAGTTAGGTTTAGGGGCACCTGCTTTCACCAAAAGGGCTATACCTATACCCTAAGTAAGGGAAACCACGAAACCGTACTTGCTGCCATCCAGCAAACAAACACCACCGACAACTGACAGTCAGACTGTGTCCTCTGAGTTGATCTTGCCCCATTCTTCACGTTTTTAGGTTACTAGGGCCTTCTGCCCTGCCAATTGCTGGAAGTAATCTTTCCGGTTACAGCGGCAGCTCACCAATGCTCACATGAGGCGAGGTATGGCTCTGGCTTTTTGCAAGATTTGAAACAGATCTTGCTTCTGGCTCCCCGTCCGAAGCGTAGAACTTTTGCTTGATCAACAAAAGGCCGAGAAAGAGACAAGGACATTCCCGAGAAGGATTCGGCTTTTGCAGTTTGAGCCCAGCAGTCCTCGAAGCGAGTTTCTTCTTGGGCTTCGCGGCCGGCCGCTTTATCGCCCTCATCGCCGACGCTGTCCGCTTCATACTGCCACTGCTGCTCTTCTGCTCTTGACTGACTGCTGCTCTGCTGTTCCGCTATTCCTGCTGCCATCTCGGGCAAAGTAGTTTGGGTCCCTGACTGGCGTTGGCCTTCAAGTTGGCAGCACTGCAAGCCAAACAACCCGGAGCGTGAAACAACCAAGTCCCACGAAAGTTCATTATAAATGACTTGTTGAACATGGGATTGTCATTCACCCGGACCACTCACAAATGAGTGTGTCAAAGGTAGGGCCCCCTGTCAGGGCCAAGATGACCTTGAAACCCACACAAACCATGGGTCCCATAGCTTTCGACTAGTTCAGGCAGTCTGAATGGGAAACCAAATTGGAACACCGGCAGTGACCCTGGGGTATTGAAAGGTAGCACTAGAAATCCGAGGCATCCGAATCCAGAAATGGGTTGTCAGCTCCACTCAATCCAGAAAACCACCAAACTTCACAAGGGACACCGCGGCCATGCCCGTGACTGTTCCACTGGCTTCGGAAGCACCCCTAGTAACATTTCACGACACACCCATGTGTTTGTTAGGTCCAGGGTTTACCTGTGACCTTTTGGGCACATATAGTATTATAGTGGCCCATTAAAAAGTGCAACACTGATAGTTAAGTCTTTCATTAGGTGTCTGTTTACAGCAATTCATTGAGCAAATAGGCTCTCTGCTACACCAAATGGTGGCTGATTTATGTTGATTTTAAGTGTTTGACTCAAAAGTGGGTCCCTTCTCTACCCCAAAATGGTCGAACTCGACATCCCGCTAGCGATCGGAGCGAAGCTGGGGGCGCTGGCGCGCCAGCATCTGCAGCTCCCAGTCGGAAATGCCATCCATCCCTCGGAGGGTTGCGAATGGATTCTTATCCAAATGGGTGGCTCGATGTGGCTCGTCTTATAGGAATCGGACCCCACAAATGGCCAAATGGCTTCGACTTTTCCGTTGGCTTCCCTTTCAAACCAACAAGGAAAGGAAAACCGCAAAACAGGACACACCTTAGGCAAAAAGCACCGTTGGCACCTGACAGGACATGCAGCCAAAACAGAGCATAGCACAAATAAACCAGGTGTGTACCTTCGAATTGGGGTCTCCCCCAAAGGCAAGGATTCCCTCATGAGGGCGTCCCCCAGAGGATGAGCTTGGGTCCTCCGAAGCCGAACTCTAGGGCGCCCCACTGGGCCTGGCTGCCAAGAGCGACACGCCATCGCCGATTCCGGCGCCTGGAAAAGGGAAGCTGGAGTCGAACTTTGAGAACTCTTCTTGGGGGACCCTACACGGACCCAACCGAACAAGGAGCTAAGGGATCACTGAATATCCATGGAAGTCTATGGAATCATTGAGATCGCGATACGGCAAGTAACATGCGGTATGATAGCCGCCATTCCGCAATAGCCAATGGCTTCAGCGCGCTCAACTTATGCAAATAACGCCTTCAAATCACCACCAGCGGCCCAACCCTATGCCCTGGACGTCAGTTCAATGTCGGGACTGAGGGAGCCACCCGAGCGGGTTCCTATCGCTGCGCTCTGAAACTCCGGCACTTCCTGCCTGTGACTGACTCATTGGCAGGCAAGGACAGCCACGAACGCAAGCTGGAGATCCAGCCGGAAGCCACCTGAAGCTGCCATCTGGGCTCTGGCATGCAACATGTCAAGATATGTCAAGTCACTTCAAGCCATTGACACGCAAAAGACTTAAGTGCCCATAAGGATAACTCCCGTTCAACCACTCGAGTGTTGGGGCTCTAGGAAAGTCGCAAAGGGTAGACGGTTCGAAGAAACAAATCTAACACTGTTCAACCCGTGAACGGGTTCCCCGGTACGTCCCCAGGTGGGTCGGCCGAAAAAAGGTGTCCGGGCTCATGTCTTAAGGAATGTCCATACATGAAATAACCCTTCTTCCAACAATTGATGGATGTGCATAGGTCGGACTTGGAGGACTGCACTGATTGTGAACAAACCACCTGTCCACTTCCAGGATTGCTGGAAATTGCTATGCCCAGAATATGCCTTGAGGTTGTGCAATGTTCTGCCAAGGCTGCCCGAAGGTGAAGCCAAGGTTACGCCAAAGCAAACACGCCGTGGCAAAAACTAAGGGTTGATCAAAAGGTTCTTTTACATTGGATGACCACCGAGCAAAACCACTATGTAAAAGGATGATACGTCCCACAAGGGAAAAGTTAGCCATGGTCAAAAGGGGCCGAAGGGAAATTGATCAAGCCACAAACCGAGGTGCCAAGGTTACACCGAGGTGACCTTTGCCACTAAGAGCTGAACTCTTTGGGCTTCACAGTCGGTCACCTCGCCGCTGGCATTGGCGCCTCGCGAATGCAAGCAAAGCTTGTTGCCCCCCTGTGCTCAGAAGGCTTCCTTGGACTTTCCAAGTCCACTTTCTGCAGATCACGATCAAGCAACTGGAAGCAAAGAGGCCTTGTCCACTGCAAATAAACTTGGATCCTCTGGGTCTAGTTCGATAGGGATGCCCAGCGAAGACGATGTCCGGTTTGTGCCCTCTGTCAAGTTCCGCGCCTGTGACAACTTTGTCTTTGCAAAACAAACAAGCAATTACGGAGCTGCTGTCCATGAGTGGAGCGCAGTGGGTAGTTCCCGCTACTTGTTTTGCGATGCACAGAACGAACACCCGCCCCGCACTGCGCAATCCGCCAGTCTTGTTGTCTCGCGCCACTCATTGATCCCCTTGAAGCGCAGAAGACCAGGCTTCACACGCCTCGGTTCGTGCATTGCAGGACTTGCCTGCCTTCCAACGAGAAGACAATGAAATTGTATTTCCGGGCTGTTCCACATGGATTGGCCAAAGCGAGTGTCTACTCTTCGGCGGCGCGCAAGTTGTACCCTATAGGGCTGTGTAGCAAAACCCACTAGCAGACTAATTTGTTCTCTTTTTGGCAAGGTTACATTTTGTGCGGTAGCTGCGGCACCACTTTTCAAATGGGAAAGGGTGCTTGCCCGATTTGGACCTGATTCCTGATCCAAGCAGGCAAACTTACATCCCTATTGGGAAACACCTACTAAAGGCCCTTCTTTGGTAACCCAAGGCAAGAAAAATACATTCCTTCGAACGGCGCATATCTTCTTGTGGTCGTTGGTTAGCGCAACAGAAAAGGACACATGATGGGAACCCACTGGACCTTTGCTGGCGAGCGGCTGCTGATCGCAGGAACGCCTTGAAGACATCCAGCTGCTCAGCATCTGAAATCCTCTCCAGCAGCATGCGACCTCCGTGCAAGTCTTTGCACCATGGTGAGATATTGAGCTCAGCTTGTTTAGCGAGACGGACTTGAACATCGAGAACCACTCTTGCAAGTTCAAAGGCACCTCCTATTAAGCGGGGTCTCCACATATTACCCAATGTCAAGTCCGATGTCATCTCAGAAAGAAAGTACCTATCATTTGTGCGTTGCGGCAACCACAACACGTGAAGTGTGTATCCACGAAGCTCACCCTTGGCCCAGCCCAACCAACCAAAACCAGCCAACGCAGCCAAATGTCGATTCAAGGAAAAGCAAGCAGCGTCAGACCAATCAAACCCGCCAACCCAACGCAGGCCATGCCAACCACTCAACAGGCTCAACAGGCATCGAGTCACTCGACCCCGTCCAAATGTCCGAGGCTGGGACCACTCCAGGACCGCCAAATGGGGTCTAGCTTCTTGGACGGGGTGCGCTCCGTGTCCTATGGGCCGCGGCTTCCGAGGGGACGATTGGTTCAAATCGCCAGACTCACCGTACAGAGTCGAAACCATTGGAGGCAGAAACCTTCCACCCCAGCAAAACCCAGCAAAACACTGCATGCAGGTTTCACCTTTTCAGCTTGAACTCCGGAACCCCCAAGTCAAGGACCTTCATCTTTGATGCCAAATCCCTAGTTTCTTACAGATTGGTCGCCTTTTCCAGTCCCCATGTGCCGGCCTCCGCCCGGAACACACATTTGCGCTCCGATCTGTCCAGCTCGAACCACTCCACGTGGGAGCCTGGTGCCACGAGAGACACATTGGCTCGTCGGTTTTTTTGAGTCGGTACCCCTTTTTGGTGGGTTGTACAACGAAGCCAAAAGCACCACCCCAAGTTGTTGGGGTCCCTAAAAAACGACGCACCCTTTTATCAGCCCGGAGTTTGCATAAAGTGAAGACCATCCAGACTGGCACAACCGCATGGATCAAACCAGACAAGTTACTATTCCATTCCAAATCAATAGGGTCTGCCTGGGAAACCGCCACGAATCGACCTGTTGTGTCATGGCCGGGCGGCACATCCGCTGGCCAGCCGCAGATGGCCCTGGCCGATCCAGTCTGGGGCTGCTTTAGGATCCGCACGCGGGGGTCAAGTCATTTCTGCGGAGAATGAATTGTGTACCTTTCCTCCAAGTAACATGGCAGCTGTGGGGAGGTACCTGGAAGATTAATGTCCTTTTGAAGGGGCCCCCTCTGAGTTGCCATGTTAGTGGGAGGGTAATCACACAGGGGACTTCTGTGCGTCATAGACTAGGAGTCTTTCTGGGAATGGTTACAAAAGTCCCATTGAGAAAGCCAACCATTTGGGGGCAAGCAAACACATGTGGCTCGCCTTTTGCCACACACACATGATTTGGGCTGCCGTGGTCATTCCTTTCCACTGAACGTTCGTGTTTTTTGACCAATCCTGAATATCCTGCTCTGCCACCTGAACAGAAGAAGCGCTCCACACCGGACGCAGTGGTTCTGTGGCAGCCCAAGCTGCCGCGGGTCAAGTGTTGCCCTTCTGAACTCCTACTCAACCGACTTGGTCGGAGAATATATACAGGCAAGGCCCCTGATACTGGACGAATCAATCATTGAGGATGGGACGTACGAGTCATTCAGATTGAAGAACATGGTCCCGTCCGACCTTTGACAACCCTCCAAGGCCCAAATACACAAGCACAGGCAAGCCAAGGCGTCCGACTTTCGCGCCTAGGATCCCGGTCTTCCAGGCCGGCCACTTCTTGCCCCTCCGGATCATCAACATATCCGTGCCTGAGCCGACGAGTTCTTGTGAACAAGTTCCTGGGGAGTCTAAGCGTATGGGTATGGATTCAAAAGACTTCAACAGGTTGGAAGCCGATGAAATCCTCATTCTGCAATTGAACACAACCAGGGGCCTAAGAGTAGCTTGAAAGTGGGGTATGGGACATGCGTTAATCCGTTCCCGTCTCTGGGCGACCCAGACCCCAGGCATGTGCCCCAATCACCTCGGGCAGCACGAAGTGCTGGAAATCCTGGCGCTCTCTGAGCAACCGAGGTAGGGCCACCTCCGAAACGGGTCAGACTCCGGCCTCCGCGTCTATTTGGTGTCAAGGGCACCCCCCAATCTTCAAAGGGGCCCATTGCGGGGCCGACAAGGGAAACAAAAATCCTGTGCTAGCAGTGCTTGATCCAGAGCATCGGTCAAACAGGCTCCAAACCCCCCTCATTCTGATCCCAGCAAAAAAAGAGGCCATGCTGAGCAACCTATGCAAACACTGGTCATCGTTTCACATCCATACCCAGCGATGCGGCGCTTCATCAGACAAAAGATTGGCACGCGCGGCTACGCTCCAATTAATGGAACCCAAAGATGATTGGTTGCCTGATATTTTGTTTAATGTTAGATAGCGATTAATAAAAGGGGAGTGAATACAGAAAACAAATCTCAGAATTATTCACTCGCCTGAAAAGCAACAAGGGTAGGTATTACAGAAAAAAAACGGCCCGAAATCCCGAAAATATGTTCCCTTCCAAGAATGGACTATTTTTGAGGGTTGAACCACCAAATTCCTTATCAATCCCTTTACTAGAAGATGCACCCTGACAAATTTCCAAGAGGGTGGCACACGGAACCCCCAGGAAGGCAATAATGCAGTTTGTTTAAGGGTAGGGAATTGTGAAAAAAAATGGCCAGGGCGGCCTGCCAAGAAGAAGAACCAATATAAATCCAATTCTAAACTGTAGTGAGTCAACTGAAAAGAATACTGAACTAATACTAAACCAATTCTAAACCGTAGTGAGCCAGCTCAAAGGAATACTAAACCAATACTACACCAATTCTAAAGAATACTTACTGGAAGACTACTCAGGCAGGTCCCGGTCTGCCCCCCATTTTGTTTTTGGGGTTTTCGCTATTGACCCCCTCCAATTCGTTTGAGGGGGGGGGGGGGGGGGGGGGGGGGAGGGGGGGAGGGGGGGGGAGGGGGGGGGGGGGAGGCCCCTTTATTAATCACTCTCCAACATTATCTTTATACACCAAAAAAAACATCCCACAGGCTTTCCGAACTCACAGACCTCTTTTGAAAACCTCTAGTCTGGGCTTTTGTGAGCGCCAAACCCTAGGCCGTTTTGGCTTCGATTGAGCTGGCCACAGCTGGCCCGCTCGTTTGTCCGTAGCTTTCAAGCATCAAGACATCCAATGCTTCCAGCTAATACCACTCCAGAGTTGCCATGGGATCGCCTTTTCAACACATTTTGAGCAGATGGTGTTTGGTCTGAAGTGGGCAGCAAACCGGCTGACCGGACCCCATCTGGCACCCTCGCGCCTGGCACGCTTGATAGGGTTTCCTTGGCCCCATCGGCTCCCGTGAAAGTTGGCCCCGGCATGTTTCGTTTGCCCCCGTTTTCATTGGCTGAGGATCCGCTTGGGGCCCCTTGCACAGCCTGGAAGCTGAACTAAAACGATCTCAAACGCAGCCTGAGCTAAACCGATTGCTTTAGCCCTCCAAATCGCTAAAGGACACGTGCCCAACTTGCCTTGGCCAGCGGCTATGGGAAAAGCTGCACCTGTTTCATTTGTTTTTGATGGTTCATGCTAAAGAGAAACCCATTAGAAAACCCGCTGTGCAACTGAAAATAGTCTTTGAAAAAGCCAAGTCGGGCTCTGAGAGGAAACGTTTTCAAGGAAAAACCCAGGTTCATCTGGGCTGTTCAAACCAGGAAACTTGCATGCGGTGGGAATCGGTGCATTCGTTGCAGTGGCCAGACCGGCAGTGAGTTATAATAGTTCAACGAACTGAACAAAAACATCAAAAGTGAGGTCGTGCCCCCTTCTGACGTCACCATGATTGTAGGGTGTGGGTTCCTACCGTTGCCTTTCCCAGCTCTAAATCTCCCCAATATGTTCACACGCATCGCAAGGCGAATCCGCTGGCTCTAGCTCCACCAGTTCTTTGGAAACCCAAACAGGGCCCATTGAATGTCATGCCTGATTGCCCCGAGTAGTCGCTATGGCAGGGGGAGGCCTTGACAACCTGAGAGTCAGTGTGACTGGTCTCTCATCCCATGCCTATTTCAGACCAGCTTCCAACCGGCGGGGAT